GAAGTCCAAAACATCTGGAAGATCTGAGTTTGGGAATCACTGCTTTAGAGCAATGATTCCCAAACTGGTTCTCCAGGTGTTTGGGATTTCAACACCTAGAAGCCCTGGCCAGCTTGGCCAACAGACAGGAATTCTGTGAGCTGAAGTCCAAAACATCTGGAAGACCAACGTTTGGGAACCACTGACCTCCAGAAGCCATTTTCTGTTTAGTAGAAATTTGTACAGACAACAAGTTTCAATTCAAACCATGATCCACATACCCTGCAACATTTCACAGATAAAAACGGACACATGTGGCCAAGCAGCATCAGAGAGCAATCCATATAGCAAAAGTTATTAATGAGGAAGAACTTCCAAATAAAGAGGGGCTTGCAACAGTTTGCTTTTTCTTGAGCCTACTGGAAAGAGCAAGATTTTGTCCCTTCATTTCTTCCCTGTTGAGTTGCGTTCGAACCATTTTTGCACCTTGAACTCAGTTTGCAATAACAGAAGGAATCAGAGAACAAACGACAGTGGGAGGAGGAGAGAGGAACTGGAACATTTTGAGAGTAGCTGAAAAAGTAGGATGACAGAGGATTAATAGAGATTGCCCCTGGAAAATTGGGACTGTTGGAGACTACAGATCTAGCACTTTGGAAAACAAGATGCTTTAACTCCTGACTGGTTTGGAGGCTTCCTCATTTGACTCTGGTCCGAACAACAACAACAACAACAACAACAACAACAACAAAATCATGAAATCTAAGTAAGGCCTTCCTACCATGGGGTTTTCTTGGCAAGTTTCTTCAGAGGGGCTTTGCCATTGCCATCCTCTGAGGCTGAGAGAGTGTGACTTGCTCAAGGTCACCCAGTAGGTTTACATGGCCCCGTTAGGATTTGAATCCTGGGCTCCAGAGTCCTAGTCCAATGCTCAAACCACTACACCACACTGGCTAACCTGTCTAGCTACTCTAGTTGAAACTAACAATAGGATTTAGGCCACTATCTCCCGAGATCCCTCTCTGTACTCTGTATAACTTTTAGATGCTTCTGTAAAAAGCTTTACAATCTGTGAAAACCTTTACAATTTACCTGGATGTTTAGTGAATTGTTCAATTGTATTTTCGAATGGCCATTGCCATCCATTTTTTCAAGAAAAAAAGCAGCTATAACAGCAGTGGCCATTCGAAAATATAATTGAACAAGTCACTAAACATCCAGGTAAATTGTGTGTGTGTGTGTGTGTGTGTAGGGATCAGTGCAGTTTTTGTAATGCTGCAATTATTTTTTTGAAAATCAGTGTTTTTCTTTTTATGCATTTTGCTTATATTCAGAAACTGCCTTTTATGATTATTGTGTTAAAAAGTGGGTTTACTCACTTTTGATCAATAAACGTTAGCTTCTGTGGGTTGTATAAAATCCAAATTGTACCAAACCCCATGAAGAGAACATTTGTGGTTGCCTAACAGGGAGGTGAGAAAGAATGCATGTGTGTGTATTTGTGGAATTATATCAGTTAGTGTGGGCAGTTAGAAAGGAAAAGGAGATGATGATGATGAAGTTTGGGAGGAATGAAAAATCTCTGTAGGCTTAATGCTACTCTATGTGTATCTTCAAAAATGTTGTCGTGGTTCTACTGCAGATTCTTCAGCAACTGTGGAGGATAATGGGTCACATTAGAATCACAGAGTTGGAAGAGACTCCAAGGACCATCCAGTCCAACCCCACTCTGCCATGCAGGAAGACACCATTAAAGCACTCCTGACAGATAGGCTTACTACCTCTCTTTTCAAACTGACCAGAAGCCACTTCCAATTTACTTCCATTTTTACAAAAGTCCTTTTCTATGCTAAAAGTGGTCCAAGGGAGGCCAAAACACGTCCCTCCAAAACAACCTCCATGTTCCCTAGAAGGCATTTGGCCCCTGGGAGGCATCGTTTTTCGAAGCTCAGGTCCATGGCTTCTTTGATGGAGTCTCTCCATCCTTAATGTGGTCTTTTTCCTTTCTTACCGTCTCCCACTATACCAGAGCCAGCATGGTGTAGTGATTTGAGCAGCTAGAACAAAGCTGAAGACCTCCATTTTGAGAGGAACTCAAAAATATCTACATTCTGGTCTCCTTTTTGAGAGGGACTGTAGGGTAAAAGGGAGTTATTTGGGGACAGTATGGGATCCAGTGGTGCTTCTGTGCTTAGAGCTTGTTCTCCTTGAGCTTCACCATCGTAGTCAAGGATGTGACCCTCCAAACGTTGTGTTACAACTTCCAGCATAGCCCTGGGAGTTGAAGTCCAAACACCCAGAGGATCAAAGTTTGGGAACCATGGGACTGGTCTTTCCAGGAGTTTTTCAAGGTGCTACACCATAGCCTCCAAAACCGGTTCACGTCCCCTTGGATTGCTCTTTTCAAGCTCAGCGCCTCTTTCTAGTTCGGATTAAAAGCCATGTGTCGGCTAGGGTGTCTTGGACTTATAGTCCCATAACACCCAGAGATCCACACCAATTCCCATGCCTGTGTTAGACAGTACCTTCTGGTGAGCCCTGATAGTTATTTTTGGAATTAGATTGCAAAAAAAGACCTTTGAAGCCACAGATTTTGTAATATATGGTGTGCAGCTTTTTCTCTTCCCTTCCCCTCCTCTTCCTATTTAATTATGTTTATCTCCCTTTCAGGTTCAAGGGCTGCTTTGTTGAACTTTTCCTCCCGTCGTTCTCAGTTTAACTCACTGTGTCATCATGAGGAGACATTATCAGCTCGGCGCTAGAGAAGAGGATTTCATCGAGCAAAGAGCTATTTGGTAGTTTCCAAGGCAACTACCTGCAAAATCATTTTTTAAAAAAAGACAGAAGGCTCTTGTGTGAAGCAAAAGGTTGTGTACGCCTTTCCCCCAGCCCATCTTTTTTTGGAAAAAAAATGTTTTATTTCCCCTTAAGAATATTTCCATCTTCTACCACTTCAGCTCTGATAAAGTCCTTAAAGTCTGCCCAGGAACTTTGATGTTGAGCCAGGAGTTTGATCATACAGTGGAGAATTGGACAGAATCTCGTGGGTCATCACTTGGAAATGGTCTTGCAAAGAGGAGGGATCTCTCCTAAATCTTCATCCTTGAAAGAGAACTATCTCCAGGTCATTTTCACGCTTGAGGTCATTCTTTGATATCAGGCTGGAAGGGATCCCAGATCTTCTCTCGCCCCTGCCTTATGGATCCAAGTTGATTTATGACTGTTCCATCCAGGTGCTTCTCCAACTAATCCTCATTTGCAGCAAAAACGGTACATTCTCCATACACCATTCTTCGTAATTTCCAACCTAAATCTTTTTGATGGCTACTTTGGGACATAACTATATTTTGTCCACAAGATCTGATCGTCATTCTCTACAAGATAACCCAGTGGCTGTAACACTACCATGGTATCTGCTCTAGTGCTCCAATGCTCTGACCATTCAAAATTCTTCCTAATTTCCAACCTAAATGTTGTTGTTGGTTGCTTTGGGACGCATTATATATTGTCCAGTTGTCCTAAAGATCTGATATTGGTTCCCTTCTAGACAATCCAAATTTGTATGGTCCTCTCAGTCCTGTCTTTTCCATATTAAGCAACCTTCAAATGGCCACTCATTGTGGTTCAGGAGTGTGTGTTGTCATTTGCTTGTTGCACTGTGATGTGGCCAGCACTGTGTCAAAATGGCAGCTCAGTGGAGCCAGTACCTGCTTCCAGCAAGTCAGAGAGACTATTGCTGCTTGAAGTGTGGAGAAGAACTCCTGGACACTTAGGAGATAATAGTGGAGGCCCATCCTTTTTTTCCCCCCACTAAAGGTAGGACTTTAAAACATCTATGTCTTAGGGATAAATTTTCTATGGCCACAGTGATTCATGCCTTAGGGACAGCTTGATTAGACTACTGTTCTACGTGGGATTGCCCTTGAAATGTCTTCAGAACTTGCTTATTGTTATTGTGTGCATTCAAGTCATTTCCAACTTAAGACCCTAAGGCGAACCTATGATGAGTTTTTTGTGGCAGGTTTCTTCAGAGGAGTTTTACATTGTCATCCTCTGAGGCTGAGAGAGTGTGACTTGCCCAAGGTCACTCAGTGGGTTTACATGGCCGAGCGTGGTCACATGGTCTCCAGAGTCAGTCCAGTGCACAAATCACTACATCACAGAAGCTTCAGCTAGTGCAAAACACTGCAGTCAGACTAGTGTTGGGTGTATTGTTTGAGAGACTAGCTAACACTGGTCTTGCAAGAACTGTCCTGGTTTCAATCTGCTTCCAAACTAAGGTGAAGGTGCTGCTTGGGGCCAGGATATCTGGAAGACCAACTCCTCCCATATGAGCCTTCCCCAAATTTGAGGCTCTCAGTTTAGTCCCTGTTGTGTGCCATCAACACCTCAAGAGATTAGGTTGGTATGCAAACATAGTAGGGCTTTCTCTGCAGCGGTTCTCCGATTGTGGAACTCCTTGCCAAAGGAAGTAAGGCTGGCTCCATCTGTCTTGAGCTGTTGGTGGGCAGGTAGAAGAGGGATGAGAGTGTGGCCTTTCAGATGTTGAAACTACAACTCCCATCATTGCTTGCCAGCATAAGCAATGATGAGTGATGCTAGGAGTTGCAGTCCAACAACATCTGGAGGCCCACAAATTGCCCATCATGTAGTAAATGGAAAAGGGATGGGGAGTTTTGATGGGAAGCATTAAAAAAATCTTTGTCCCTCTCTGTCACCTGCTGAAGAACCACATTCTCTCCATATCAGAACTTGGAAAAATGACTAATTGAAGCAAGTCTTATTAGAGTACAATTGCTTTCCCAGCTGCAGCTTTCTTTATTGCACTGTTTACTGTAGAAACAGTGCTGCAGCTCAACCTGATAGTCTGTTCTCCAACCCTCCTTCACCATGTTCCCAGTGCTGAAGTTGCTAGAAAGCCTCCAGTTAAACAAAGAATAGAAAAAGTAGTCTGGTCAGGTGAAAAAGATTAGGAGCTTCACCATCAGAGGGTTTCTTAACTGATATATGCCTGTATGAGAGCCATACATGGTATAGTGGTTTTTGAACATTGGACTAGGACTCTGGAGACCAGGGTTCAAATCCCTGCTCAGCCATGCAAACACACTGGGTAACCTTGGGCAAGTCATACTCTCCAAGCTTCAGTGGAAGTCCTTTCTGAACAAATCCCCTCTCAACAAATCTTGCCAAGACAACTTGTGGCCTTTTAGGGTCACCATAATTTGCAAACAACTTAAAGGCACACAATAATGGCATGCCTGTACATTTCATGGGTGGAATGATATGGATGAAGTATACATATTTTGATAAATAAAATAATAAAAATATAGCTTGGGTGGAGGACTTTGCATCCCACCTCTGTTTCCTTTGCCATACAACACAAGTCCAAAGTAATGTTTCTGAGCTCTGGAATGTGGCTCTGTTGACGCATAAGAAAGAAAAAGAAAAACTCCATACGCCAGATTTTATATAACTACTGTGAAGAAGCTGTTGCGTGCCCTTAAAATGCCCCCTTTGGCTTAACCTGATGTGTTATGAGATTGCTCAAGATGAAACCTTTTCTCCTCCCTTTTCCTTTGCAAGAAATCTGAGATGGGTCCTTTTTAAAAAGGCAGCCAGAAAGTGTGTGTTGCAATGTGTCATGTGTGCAATTCATGCTCTTCTGTTTCTGGTTGTAGTGAGTGAGTAGGTGGATGGATGGATGGGGAAAAACATATCCTCGGGAGGAAGAGAGCTGTTAAATCATTTCGACTGGTTTAGTGATTCAGTCTGTTGGCGACTTGTTGAAAGTCTTCCGCACGCTTACGAGAAATCAATGCCATATGCATGAGTAAGCCATGTTCTGAACAAGAGGATGTTTCAAGATACGCCTCTGTGTGCTTTCCCTCTTAAACAGAAGCAGGGTCTGCCTTCTGGAAGGGAAAACACATGTCATCACAGCTGGCTTGAATTCTTCCTTCTCCCCTTCCCCTCCCCGACTGTAATCTAATTTTGAGCCAGGGTGGCCCATTCAGCCTTCCCCAACCTGGGGCCTTCTGGATGGGTTGGACTGCAACTCCCACCAAAGCACAGATAGTTGGCCATGTTGGCTGGGGATGATAGGAGCTGTGCTCCAACACATTGGACATACCCCAGCTTGAGTGAGCTGGAAATGAGCATTACATTTGTAATGAGACAAGGTATCAGAAGAAGACTAAGGACTTGTCCTTGTTTACATTATCTATATACCCCAAATTTCTCTCGGGCTGGCTGTGTGGTGTTTACACGGGGTAACCCCAAAACTCTGAATCAGGTTTAGGCTGATGGAAGGCCCAGGGGGCAAAAAAATCCTGCTTTTTAGATGTCTCTTCTGGACCAAAAAAAGGTGGTGATATTGCCCCCCCCCCCCAATACTGTGTGTGGGAGGCATTTAGGAGTATTTTATGACTGTTGAGATACCCTGGAAGCAACATGAATGGGCCAGAGGGTGCATGCAACCCACAGGCTGTACTATCTCCACTCCTAGATTAGCTGCATCTGATCCACCCATGGCATGACTGATCTTCTAGGGATCCTGAGACAGAGCTTGGAATAGTGCAATCCCCAGATCTGTGGCAGTTGTCCTCCAGTAATTTATGTTGCTGTGGTGCTGTTTTAAAAGCATCTAGGTCCTTTGGTTAAGTATGTTATTGTATTTATTTGTACCCCACTTTC